ATCAATAACAAATTAGTAAATGACGATTTATTGATTTATTATGCATTTTGATGTTTTTACAAGGTTATCTGATATTTTCTTTTCTTATTTTTAATTCTGATTTATTATAAATTCTAATATATTTATTTCACACTAGTAAATAGAAATACATTTATTCTGCTTTTTTAAACATTGAAGTTATAATGCATTATGTTTAATTATAAATTTAATAAACTGATTCTCCTTTTTGWAGTATTAAGATTATGATAAATTCTGATTTCTTATAAAACTTAATGAATTTATTATGATTTTTAACACTAAAAATATAATAAATTATGATTTAGTATAAAATCTATTAAATTTATTCTGATTTTTTATATTAAATGTAGAATATGGTTTATTATAAAATTTAATAAACATATTCTGATTTTAATAAATATTTAAAAAAAAAAACTAACTAGTTAATATTTTATTACTTGAAAAATATTTTATGTTTTATATTATAGATTATTAATGGAATAAATATAATATACTAATATATTATATTTTTAATGTACATTAGTCGACATCCTGTCGACATCTTGTCGACATAATAGGAAAAACTATATTTTTTTTTGTTATTTGGACCGATTTGGTCGACATTTCCGTAATATAGGAAATGTCGACCGACATAATGTAATTTTTATATTACCATCCATTTTCATGTCGGTGAGCCTCGACATCGACATATGTCGGGCGACATTAGCAACATTTGGCGACATTTGAAACCATGCTCCAGTGGCACTGTCGATTTGGTCATCCTTCACTAAAAGTTTTGAAGTCTTTGGTTCCTTCATTGAGTCATCTTTCTGTTTTGGATTGTGAGTCGTGTCAGTTGGGGAAACATCATCATGTTCTCTTTAGTCCTAGTGTTGATAATCGTGTATTGAGTCCTTTTTCTTTGGTTCATTCAGATGTTTGGGGTCCTTATAAAGTGATGTCATATAATGGATATAAATATTTTGTCATTTTTGTTGATAATTATTCAAGGATGACGTGATTCTATTTAATGAAAGAAGTGAATTGTTTACTATTTTCCAAAAGTTTTATGCCGAGATTCGCAACCAATTTGGTGTTCACATTAAAATTTTTCGTTCTGATAATGGCCGTGAATATCTCTCTTTATCATTT